GTTGTTGACATCTCGGTCTTGGAGCAGCGGCGTTCTCAATGCAGTGATCGTTAAAAATCAATAGTTGTTATCGTTAGAAGACTGCTGATCTTTGGTAATCTTATTATCGGACTACGGATTTTATGCCATTTACGGCGAAAATGGGTAGTTTCAATTTAACGCAGTAGCGAAATTAAATCAATCTAAAAAGGTTTTTGTATTATTTCCAATCTAATAAACTTATTACAAAAAAAGAATGGACGTTTTACTTAGTTTCTATTTTTTGTAAATGATGCAGACAATTTTTATTTTGCATAATAAAATCCGCGGTCTGCTTATTATATATTTAATTTAACATTCTTCGCAGTAAGAATACAAAAATTCATTTATCGAGATTTTTCCACTGTTTTAATCTTTTCATTTTACTTATAGTTTCACGTTTTTATCAACGGTGCTTGTACTCCACAGATTCTCTGCGATATGTAAACTGCGGATTTTATGTGCTTGCGGCTAAAAAACGGGGAGAAGCGAAATAAAACTAGAAAATTCTATTTCTGTGTAAATCTCGTCGCAATCGAGGTGGAACGCTTTCATCTTCTATAAAAATGTGCGGTCCAGTGATGCGTAACGATAGGACACACTTGAACGTACTTTCTCTTGAGAAAATAATAACATGGTTACATCCGCAACCGAGCCGATCAAATTATTTCGTTAAGTATACTAATTCTTTGCCGTATTTTGTTGAGTCCGACACGCGAGTTGGAGATTTCGTGGAAAATCGGAAAATCCGATAAGAACTCGCGTAGAGTGAACCTTCCAAAGATGGCGAACGCGCGGATTTGATGAACGATTTAAAAATGTGCGCAACAACAGAATACTATCAGCGTCGAATAAATTTCCTTGTCGCGATAAATTGCACGAAAAATCCGGCGAATTTCGCGAGATACCGAGACCGTCGCGGCGACTCCGGTAGCCATAAATACGATCCGGTCTCGTCTCGGAATTTCATTGAGGCGAGCGTTCGCGGCTCTCATTAATTCTTGGCCGTGAAGGCGCGTCGGAAAAGCGGACGGAAACGATTTCTCCGGCGGTCTTTTCTCACGACCGTCGATCACGCGACCGTCCTTGGTTCTGGATCGCGTCGGATCTCTTGCGAAACAACCCACGGGTTCTGGGCATTTCCACTTAACTGTAACCCGATGGATCGGCGGACGAATCAGGGTCGGGAAGACGGCGTTCAATTTAATTTCCCACGTGAATTCAATCTGCTCCTAGCGTCACACGAACCGGCGCAACAGCATCGCCGCGACGATGATCACGCGTGCACCTTGAATTCGTCGATGATCAATTGCCAGCGAGCGCGTGGAGAACAAATGAACGGAGATACCAGAAGAGATGCGGGCACGCGAACGCCTAATGCTCACCCCCGTCACCTTGAGCGGATCTTCCAACCGGTATTTATAGCGGCTCTGCAAATAAAGTTCGAAGTACGCGAACTTCGCGGAGATTCGCTTTTCGAGAACTCGCTTCGACCCGCCGGAAGTGGACCGGCAATTGCACAATTAGCGGTAATTAGGCCGTTTCGACTGATTCGTCGTTTCTCCTGAAACAGTGGCTAGAGATCAATGATTCTACAGAACTTGTGACGCGAGTTGATTTCTCAACAGATCTTCCTTTAAATAGTCTTTGTTGAAACGTTCGAACTCGGAACTGTTGCTTTCGGAGACGTTCTCTTATCGTGGAAATCGTAATTCGCAGCATTGTAGAGTTGAGCATATTTTATTCGAATAACGAATTGTATTCGCAGAATTTGTTCGAAATTTTCGAAGAGTTTATTCGATATATTATATGAATAAAATTTTATTCGAAGAATTCATTCGATATATTATACGAATATAATTTTATTCGAAGGATTTATTCGACATATCATATGAATAAAATTTTATTCGATATGTTATTCGAAGATTTTATTCGATTTGTTATACGAATATAATTTTATTCGAAGGATTTATTCGACATATTATATGAATAAAATTTGATTCGATACGTTATTCGAAGAATTTATTCGATATGTTATACGAATAAAATTTAATTCAATATATTATACGAATAAAATTTTATTCAATGGATTTATTGGATATATTATATGAATAAAATTTTATTCGAAGAATTTATTTGATATATTATACGAGCAAAATTTTATTCGAAGAATTTATTCGACATATTATATGAACAAAATTTTACTCGAATAATGTTCAATTCTGCAGCATTGTACAACTCGGTAATGAATTTACGGTCGACTTCGATGTTCATTTTGGCTCGGTGACCATTTGGACTGATTCAGTTTTCCTGTAACGGTATCTATAGATCAATGGTTCTTGAGAATCTCTGAACAAATCGTTAACAATCATTATTAAAACGTTCGAATAATTGCTCTCGAAACTATTGCGTCGTAGAAGATATTCTCTCACAGTGGGAATCACAATTTGCAACAATGTACACATCTTGCCGACGAGTTCGATGTTTATTTTCAGTAAAAAACAACGTCACTGTGTTGCTAAAACGACCGGCGGATCATTTATCGAGCGCTGCTATGCATAAATGCACAGTGCATAATGGAGACTGAAGATCATAATGTGTTCCGTGAAGACCAACTTGTTTTTAGGAACGGTAATAATTGTATAAATTACCGGGCGATTTACTGAATCGCGGTGCTGGTCAGAAAAGAAAAAGTTGACCTGTTTGAAATACGTAAAGCCGCGGTTCTGCAATTCAAACAAGGTTCATTATCTGTTACGATCGTGCCACTCACTCCGGTAACTTCTTTCCTCCATTTTTTCCTATTGTTTCGCCGCGTCGACGGCGACCGAGAGGGTAGAACCTAATTTTGTGCTGCGCGGAACATGGCCGAGCTTCCGGCGCGTTAAAAACACCTCCGATGGTGTGCCGGTATTTCTGTTTACGGATCAAGTGTCAGTCGTACACATATTTTCCCGGTAAGAAGAAGGGCCCGGCCGGATAATAAAAAGAAAGCTTGTCTGCTAATTGGATGAAGGAAGCCCCACCGCTTTGTGTCGATCTGCTTTCTGTGTCAGCAGCTACCGACACACGGTATTCGCTTTTTATCAACTTCATTTACTTCATCGAATCAACAAGGCCGGCACTACCGAGAAATTCGATTTCATTAAATTTCGTTCGGAATATCACCATCTAAATTATCGTGGGCGTTATTGGATAACCGAGTGAAAACAAATCCAGGTACACCGTCATCAGAAGATTCGATAAGATCTCTTTACTATATTTGGAACAAGATCTGTGTCAAAAGGGACCCAGGTACATATCGCGCCATAACAAGATTAAATGAAACCTCTTTGCTCTATTAGAAACATTGTTAACGAGCTGGTTCAATTGAAAACATGAAACATTAGACTGTTAGAAACTCTATTAAAAATACAGTACTTTAGATTGATCTATACATACTCTGACAGCAATAAAAAGAGATGATCGAAGCGAAAGTATAGTATCTAAATGAAATTACGAAGTGCTGTGTGCTTTGCGTAACAATAAAAGTGAACGTAAATCGTAAGGCTGTTCGTCAAGGAGACTGACGGTCGCCCAGATAATCGTACACCGATACAACGTTTATCTCATTGATATAAATCGCTTCCTGATCAATCCCATCAAACCATATCGGTCGTGATCATATCTGGATGGTATCTGGTATCGATCAACGATGTGGTTTGCATAATAAATCGTTTGCACTTATCGGTATTGCAACGATGGGAACGTTCGCGCGAAGATCGATCGACCAGTTTTTCTCCGTAATCTTCGACTCGATGGCTACAGACTGCGCTAGAGGTGCCCTTCGATTGGCGTCGATTGTTTTCGTTTCTTGCGTTTCCTTTTTTCTTTCTCTCGTCTGAACGTCTCGGCGAGTGTTCCACGCGTGTTCCCGCGATGTCGTCACGCCCGGAGACACGCCGGTACCGTTGGACGACACAAAACCGTGTGTCTTTACGTGAAATAGTTTGCATGGAAATCAGTGTAACCTGATGCCTTGATCTCCCCGTTCTCTGCTCAGCGGAATCCAATCTACGATTCGTGAAGCAGATGGTCTCGAGTTGAACCGTTTGCTGGATACCATCGTTCCCTTTAATTTAGTCCGATTGTTCGCGACATTGCGATGCACCTTGATTTGCAACGATGCTGTTATGCGATTTTTCTTTACGAATAGATTAATATTCGATCAGTTATTCTTATTATTTCAACGACATCCTGATCGCCAGACGGTAACGATACACTTTCAAGTAGGAACATTTGTCTCGTAGGAGAAGTAATGCATCTAGTTCAAGATAATAAAGAAACTCATGAATACTTATGAGGACAGATGGCGACACTTTCCAGGATCGAGAGAACGGAACGAATCGAGAGGAATCGTTTGCGGATATTGAACTTCGAAACGATTCAATTGACGAAATGGGACGAAGAAATGAGGTATAGACGAAGGAATAGGAGAGGGAACCATGCAGTCGTCGAGTGCTCTCGAAATAAGGTTTATTTTGGTCCACGGCCATCGGCCACGTTAGGTGCACGTTTCCTTGCGAAATCGGTTTTGTATATTAATGGTGCAGTTGCCACTCAAGATGCTGCATCCTGGATTATTTCTGGGCCGACTTATCGTTTTCAAAATATATCCGCGCCGTTTGATTCGTGGACGGCAACCTTCCACGCGGCGAGTTTTACCGCATACGGAAAAAAACTGAACCGCCGTTGCATTCTTCGATAGAATCTAAATGTTACCTTTCTTGATACAGTAATAAAAGGTTAACAGAAGCACAGTGTCATCAAACGAATGGCACGGTTAGATGACCGCGACACAATATGTCAATTCCGTGCACGAAAATTACGTGCATAATTACTGCTTCTCGTCGCGTGACGAGTTATAATTCCTGGCTGCGTTAATACCGTAACGACCCGTTTCACACCGGATCTCGATTCAATGATCCTTTGTCTGTTCGCAGGTTCAGCAATTCCTAAGAGACATGAAGGAACACTCAGCCTCGTCCCGATTTGAAGGCAGGGAAGTACCTCAAAGGTCGCAGAGCAGCGCGGCCAGCTTGATGTCCTTAGGTGCTGACATATCACCTAGTTCTTCCCATTTCTTTGAGGTAAATCCAATTTTTCCGTTCGAAATCGATAACGGCCGTTTCGTAGACATTTGATTTTCGTAAACCCAGTTGTACAAGTATTTCATACATTTATTTCAATAAATCAACTTATAAACTCCTTCGGAAAATTATATTACTTGAGAGGGAAAAAACACAACCATTAGAAATATACCTGATATGTTTAAATAAGATAGTTAAACAAATGAAATTGATAAAACAAATAATTTGTAAAAATCGCGGGAGAAAGTTAGCTTAAGTGCGCGCGCACCCGATACTGTTGCATCTTCATAAGGTGGCTGGTCAAGGTCACTTCCATGACCAGTTCTCACCACCGCACTGTTTGTCATGTGATCCCTTTAAACTTTCTGCCACCCGCTACCGTACAATTGCTTATAAATTGTTTCTATGTCCATGCGTTAATACGTTCCGGTAATTTTCAGGTACTTTACGTCGGGAAAATCAAAGTATCGCATCCGAAGGTATCGGAGGCCTTTATCGACGATGCACTGGTACGGTTTCGCGTTCACGGTCTCGAGAAATCGAGACCATCTACGACTAATCTTCTCACGGAGTACCAACGTCAATCACTTCTAACGTCTTCCAATAACAGGAGAAACAGCACGGTAAGTCGAACACTGGGCAATTTGTATCACGATGACGAATTGCGCAGATATACATGACGAATATCTTGTTCTACAGGAATCTAGTGCTAGCGAGACAGGAAGCATAGAGAACGTTTGTGGAAGCGGCATCATATCACAGATCAATCCATTGGGAGTACCGTCGACGCTCACCGGCTCCGTCGAAGTCTTCCCGAAGCCGCAAAATGCCATCCTCGCGGAGAAAGATGAACGAGAAGGGAACCGAGACGCCGTGAACAACAATTCCATGCAAGTGCCAGAAGTTATGCGCAACCGGGCCTCGTCCACAGGCAGCGTGTTGAATTCTAGAAGGGATTCCATGAAAGCCAGCGACGAGCACAACCGTACCATGCTCTTCCAGGTGGGGTAATTGTTTTTGCAAAACCGCGGAGAATATAAAGCTAAAGGGTATAGGGAAAAGTCAGATTCTCTTAGATTCTAGTACTTTTCTCTAGATGTATGTTCTCCTGGACAAGTAGTTCAGATCAAAAAAATTGTACAAAGAACGTGACCTAATTAGATCTTGAATTCCAGGTAGGTCGACATGATTTGAGATTGATCAGTCCAGATAGGAAGCAGGTACTCCTGCATAAACTGCTGAGGGATGTAGCCAGTTGCGTGCAGGGTATCAAGAATCCCGAACACTTTGGTTTCATTTGTAAGGAGAACAATATAGAATGCTTTATCGGCTATGTGTTCAAGTGCCAGTCGGAATCGGTCGCAGACGACCTTGTCGCTGGTACGCCAACCTTCGTAACGTATTCGATTAGTCAAGGTATAGAACTATCCAAGTAACTAAATTTCGATTTCGTTTCTTTGCAGCGATTTCGCAAGCGTTTGTCGGTACATGCGAGGTTCCGAGAAAGGAAAGGTACTCTGTGTTTTCGTGCGAGCACTGTCCCATGTATTGGTACAGCAAATTGTGCCAGGAAGTCGAAGGTAATTTGCGAGAACGGTGATTTTTTAACGTCCAAGGAAATTGCCGTAGCCGGTCCGGGGTCTAATGAGCTCGCGTGTCTCGGATTGCAGGACAGAACGACAGGAGGACCCAGAGCATAATCTTCTCGCGGATGGAATTGTTGCCCGAGGACGAGCAGGAAATCGTAGTCAGCAAGTACAAAAGCGCCGAGTCCGCTGGCGGTACAGGGACAACTTTACGCGAGCAAAATCAGTTTTTAATGAGGCTGCTGCACGCTCACTGCGAGACGAAACAAGCCAGGCATGTTCACGATACGGCCGAGAATAGGTACGATTATTTCTCTTCCTCGTGAGAAATTTCATTCGTAGCATCACCGTTGAATACTTGAATATCGTTAGACAGCCAGAAATGTATGACAGTTGAATAAAGAATGGATTATTCAGAGCGTAAGATATGAAGATGCAAAAATAGTGTGCAGAGAGGTATAGCGATATTGTTGAACGTTATACATGTTTCAGGAGTGAATTTCTCAATCAGTACTTAAGCGTGGGCGTTGGAAGCGCCATATTCAAGAAAGCGAAACGATCGCTTACAAATAGTTTTGATAACCTGATGAAGAGGAAGGGTTCGCGGGACGACCTCGGCCTTGGCCCGCATTTGAAGGATTCGAGCCACCTTAACACTGTGATAAAAAGTGGTAGCCAAAGCCCAGATATTTCGCGACAGCCATCGATAGTCGACATATCTCCGGACTCTAGCAGACCAAGGTCGTTGAGAGTTTCTCCGGAACAGCAATTAACTGTGAACACTGGACCAAAGAGTTCTATGATGGACATGTACGTAAACTCATACAAAAAGGAATGTAAAATCGGTAAAAGAATTTCTTTGTAAATTTAGTAATACCACATTTGTTTTACTTCTTATGTAGCTTCCTGAAGGTAGGAAACTCACCAAAAATGTCGCCAACAGAAGCCGACGGTAACAACTCCGTGCAGTCGAATAGTTCTTGGAGACAAGCAATATTGAACCGTGTTGTAACTCCTAATAAAGATCACGAGAAAGAGAACGATAAACCAGGAAATATCAATATTATGAAGTCGCCTCAGACACCTGCTAAGCGTAGAACGAAACAAGAACTTAGAGATCTATGGAAAAAGGCAATTAATCAGCAGTTGATACTTATTAGAATGGAGAAAGAGAACGCAAGGCTCAGAGGTAACTTTTACCATTTTTTAAACTAAAATTGCTCAACAAATCTTTGCGTATTCAAACACATTTTATTCTCTGTTCTAGTGCGTCAAGAGGAAGCGACTGTTAAAAGAATCAAACTAGAATACGATGAACTTAGTAGTTGCGCACGCGAATTAGTGGAAGTATGGGATCTTCTTGTTAGCAAAGAGTCGAGAGTCTCTACGAAATGTGATAATCAAATGCTGTTGCATGCTATAAAGCAGGGTACGTGATCAAGATCGTCCGGTTTGTAAAATGATTTGGTATAACAATTTTGTAATAAGTTTCTGTTACGTAGGCGTACCCAAAGGAAAGCGAGGAGAAGTATGGCAATTCTTAGCCGAGCAATTCTGCTTGAAACAGCCGCCCATAGACACACGCGATTTTCCTAACTACAACACACCGTATGATCTGCTCCTAAAGCAGCTTACGTCCCAACAACACGCTATTCTTATCGATCTGGGCCGAACGTTCCCAAATCACCCGTACTTCAGTTCAGCCTTAGGACCTGGACAATTAGCGTTGTTTAATTTGCTGAAAGCTTACTCCCTATTGGATCACGAAGTCGGCTATTGTCAAGGGCTCAGTTTTGTTGCCGGCGTTCTCTTGCTACATGTGAGTGTTGATCACACTAAAATTAGAATACCTTTTCTATTTTCTAATGATCTTATATTATTTTTAATCAGATGTCAGAAGATCAAGCGTTTTTCTTGTTGCGTCATCTGATGTTCCGAAGAGGTCTAAGGAAATTATATCTACCAGATATGGCGGCGTTGCAATTATATTTGTATCAATTGTCCAGATTGCTACACGATAGGCTACCGGCGATTTACAACCATTTTGACAAGCATGAGGTCTCGCCCACACTATATGCAGCCCCATGGTTGCTAACGTTATTTGCAAGTCAATTTCCACTGGGTTTCGTGACCAGAGTATTTGGTAAATTCCAATCACTATTTTAGTGAACACTCGCAATTGCCCAAATGATTATTTCATACATTCGTGTTCGTAGATCTGCTCTTCCTGGAAAGTACAGAAGTACTTTTCCGGGTGTCGATGGCGCTGTTGGAGGAACACCAGGATCAGTTGCTTCGTTGCGACAGTTTCGAAGAAATCATGGAATATCTGAAGGTAAAATATAATTTTTACAAGAAACATACAAAGAAGACGCTCCTAACTATTTCATGATTGTAGACACAAGTGCCAGCTGTGGATAAGGAAATTCTGGATCGCGTGATGAAGCGTGTGTTTTATCCTGATCAAGAAATCACGAAGCAGCTGAATGAGTACAGAGTAGAGTACCAAGTGTTGCAAGAAGAAATGATATCGGTGAAGCCACAAATTGAGAACATGGAGAAAATGAAGCATCTGAACAAGCAATTGACGCAGGAAGTCACGCATCTGAATGAACAACTCGAGGTGAGTTGCGTAAAATCTAATTGGCTGCCGAAGGCATAAATTTTTCAGTCACTTCGGAAACTAACATATATACATTTCTAGATAACAATGAGCAACTTGCATCGTTTGGAAACGACTCGTTCAGTGCAACAGTCGACTCTCCTCAAATTGGAGTCTCAAAACCGTAGTCTAGAGGTGACCGTTGCAACACTAGGCGCCTTCATTCAACAATTATCTGAAACCCGTCCAGACATTGAATATCCAGGCGAGATTCGTCGAATAATAGCGCAGCTTAGTCTCGCGGAGAAGCGAAGAGCCGCGACGGGAAGGTCATATCCTCTGAAGGTGATTGAGGACAACAGTAAATACGGAATGATCAAGAGCAACTCCACCGGAAGAGAGTCCCACAACTTCTTGAAGAACAACAATATGATAGACGCTCCGTATCCTCTGAAATCAACGTTAAGCCAGCCGAATCTGGCCACCAAGCTCGAAAGGGTGTCCTCGTTCTTTTCTAACTCGCACAACCATATACAGAAGCAACGAGCACAACTAGCCGCCCTGAGAAACGAGTATTCGATCGAACAGCCGATTCGAAACGACGAGAACGATCCGAAGACGGTCAATATAGACATCCAGATCACCGACACGGTGAATTCGAGCAACGAGCAGATCCCACAGATCGATAATAATCATCTGAAGATACAAGAAGTCAACCTGGAAAAGTCGGTCTCGCTACCATTGAATAACAGGATGAAGTTGAAGTCATCAAAATCGGCATACGAGTTGGGATCAGTCAAAAAAGTATTAACCACTAAGCTGGAGGTCACGACAGACGATGACTTGACAAACCTAACAGGAACGATGCATCCTCTGGACACTTGTAGCGACGTGAACTTCAAGTACGGTGGAACCACCAAGCTGAAGTCTATCAAGCCCACTAGGCTTCCAAGTCCCATCGGACAAGAAGAAAGCGTCAACAAGAACGCTCAAAGCCAGAACGTAGAAACACTGAACAGATAACAATTACTAATGATGTTACGTTCAAGGAAGATACCTTGGAAGGTAACTACCTTGAGGAAAGTATATCCCACAAACTAACTGTACAATGTGTTTCGTCCCGCGTTACTCTCTCGTACAGAGTGTTTCATTTATTTTGATAGCTTGGAGTAGTTTCGTTATCTTTAATAATACCAAGATAGACCATGTAAGGGGAGTCATTTAATTCGAGGAGATGAATATTATAATTGCCAGCGCTCTTCTCTCACAGTGAATTGTAATATTCGTTTCTGTGATTTTATTCTTTGTGTAAGGTACAATATTTAAAAGCGGCGGAGGTATTTCAAATTGTTAGGATAAGTGAACCACCCTGTATACACTCATACACTTTTGATACAATGATCGATTTTCATTTTTTAACGAACGTTGCCTCGGCGGATTGTCGACCGAACCGCCCAGGATTCGTACTTCCCCTTTTACGATACTTATACCAATGATTTTAATACCTTATTGCGAGTGGAAGATTAGAGAGAATGAGAGAAACAGAGTCAATTTATAATATATTAAAATACGATTACTTGAGGATATTAGTATATAAATATACGTATATATAGAGAGAAATTAGGATGAAGCTGTGAGATAAGTTAGTACCTACTAAAAATATTTATCTATTTCGCATAGTGAATATCCATTTTGACTAGTAGGAGAGAGTATAGGGAACATTTATACGAATATAATATATACGATCTTGCCGATTATAAGAAATTTGTTTTAAATAACAGTAACACCGAGAATTCTATTCAACTATGTAACACGATAGAATTTTGTAGCGGAAACTTGTAAAGTATAAAAGTTTGTAGATGATGTCGATGTGTTACTGTTGCAAACTAAATTTCTTAGAGTCCAGCAGAAAACGTCGTATCTGTAAGTTAAATACGAGCATCAGAGTGTACTGTAGGTTGTTGCAAAAATAATAGGAATTCGTGTAAGAATGTATTCACTCTTTGTTCGGACAACGATCGATCATCCGTTGTTGGCACTAAAGCATGTTCAATATCACATGTGCAAATGAATGATTCAATCAAACATCTGAATGGCCTTTCGAAGCTGTTCGAAAGCTTTCCGTGAAGCTTAATGCTTAAAGCGTTATAACAGTTACAGAAACTACATTAGTCTCGATTAAACAAGAGAAAAAAAAAGAAAAAAAGTTCCTATTACTTTTGCGTGAACCGTCGCGAAAAGTGCCAAACTTTCCAAAACGAATATCAAGAATTGTGACTAGCAGGTAGGGAAAACAAAGTGTTTTATTAAAAGGATCATCAGAGAACGTGTAACTATACCGTGTATAATTGGGAGACGCATATTTATAAAATATAATTTATAGACTATTGTGCACTGATTCGAGGGAATCAAGTATTACTATTTTTGCACAAAATGAAGCCTTGTGATATCAGGGATACAATTAATGCCATTCAGCATTGTAACAGTGACGGATCGTGTTACCATTTTTTCCGATTACAAAAAAAGAAAGAAAAATTAAAGAATACGAAGTCGACAAACTATAATAAATACTCAGTAACGTTGGCGGCGAGTGTTATCAAACGTTTAATTGTCAACTAATCGCGATTTATTCGTCTCGAATGTGAAGATATATTTTCGGTCTCGCGACAACAGTTTCATATTGGAGAAGAAAAGAAAATCGAGACCGAGCAAAGCACGTTCAATAAACGTTTGTATAGTAATTGTTAGGAACTATAAAATATTTTGTAGCGTTCAAATTTGTATCTTCCAATTAGTGATTTGTACGAATAGATTTTAGACGTTAATTATACATTGTGATTGAGAATACAGAAGTAAAGATATAACCCCAGTTTTCCGAATATTTGTAGACTTAATGGACACGTTGTTACTGTTAGCATAGAATATAGTTCGACACCGTTTACGCCCTCCGCTCGTACATTTGATTGTGATAGCAGCGAATGTATTTCCTTGAAGAGAGTATTTTGAATGACAGAGAAGAAAACGTCACATGAATTTATACTGCTTTGTATACATCGAGAAAATTCATAAAATTTTCTCCGGCTATTGTACTGAAAGTTTTACATCTTTGTCACCATATACACAACTTCGAAAATCGAATGAAAATTACTGGAGCCTCTGTTATATAATCCCAGAAACAAGACACACGGAGAAGCGTGAAAAAGGTGAACCTCTTTTATAAACTTATATAATGTTACTTTATTATCCTGTACGTGGATTAACAAATCAAAAATGTGCAATTCACTTTTTGACAAGCGATGTTCCTACTCTGCCTGAAAAAGATGTGCCGATAAGATCCTTCCTCTTGTCTGCATATTATATACAATCCTCATAAAAGACAACATTAAAACCTCTAATGCTTCGACTTCGATATGCTAGTCCTGAAAAAAAGAAAAATAACCAATGACTTTTACGTAAAAAAAATATTTTAAGCCTGTTGGTTATTACAAATTGTGAAATCTTACGTTTGCATTTGTTTACTGCCACTAAGAACTATATAAGGTGACTGTGTCTCCTTCTGTTTCGCTTGCAACAAATTAAGGGTGCCCAAAGGTGTATCTGTGGATGACATCCGTTTCATTAGGACTTCCTGTTCCGCCTTCTTCATTCGTTTTTCAACCTAAAAATTAGACAATTGGTCAAGGTCAAGTATTAAGCGGAGCACATAAGTTTGATTCTACCTTATTTTTCCCTGGCCCTTTCCCATGGAATTTATGAGAAAGATATCTAAAAGCTTCCTTTGCGCTTAAAACGTGTCCATCGTCATCAATGTATTCCAGTTTTACGTTCGGTTTGAAACCATCTTTCTCTTTGAATTCAGAGGTAGGACCATTAAAACGATCTCTTCTGCCGAATTTGTCGTCATCCCTAAGAAAAGAAAAACATGTGGATAAAATCACAAAAAAGTGCAAACACCGGATGTAGTAAACTTTCATAGAATTTACGGTAGCCCAAAAAGTTCGGTGTTCGAAAAGTACAGTGAAGGTACAGTGAATGTCGTTCAAAAAATTAATATTTCAAAGTGAACTGCTGCCTCTTGAAGATACATTACATTATGCGATTAGATCAACGTAAATCTAAACAAGTCGATGTAAAGATAATTACATCTACACTCTTATTTAACTAAAGTGTGTTTTCTTTCCCTCGAGAGAGAATTAAAAAAAAAAATGTGAAACATCCTTAGTCTAACAAAACCTTTCCACAAGATAGTCCACATGTTGAGACATGCAATATTTATGTTTGTTAAAAATAACAGAACATTGATTGCTCGTTGTTTGTATTATATATGAACATAAGGTGACCATAACTTATATGTCCACATATAACACGATTACCAAGTGATACGTTTCCAGTGGATTATTGATTAGTTTATTAATTGAATGAATGCGATTTCCACGCTGGACTTGTCTAGAATGTGTACAGATCCTGCTCGGCGACGGTAGAATCGCATAATATAAACATACCTCAATAAATCCTCTTTCTCGGCCCTTTGATCGTCTCCGACAAAGCAGTTAACTCTTGTTGCGGTAGCGGATCATCCATTTCCGAGCACCGAAATCCGGGCTCTATTTAAGACTGTTAACTAACAGTTTGAAATTCACTAGAGACTCGTCTAACAACATTGTCGAATACATTCAATAGAAGAATATTTCTTACGTACGTTTGAAAAAATACCGCGAAACGTGTTGTAAGAAAGCTTCTTGTATTGAACAATAGTGATACTCCATACATACCCGTACGTCTTGTCCTCTATCGAATAGTTCTGTGCTTGAAGATGAGCGAAACGAGATGCGGATGGTCGACTGCTGTCTTCCTTTTGCAAATAACCTTTGCTCATTGCAAGCTTCAAAGCTCCGCCAACGCCATGTCCGAGTGAAGGCTCGGCGTCCAAAATTGCAGCTTCCATTGCTACCGGTTCAGACGTACTTTCATCTATTAAAAAAAAAATAGAAAATGAAATTTTTGAAAACAGAAACAGCTCTGTATTCGAAGTCGATAAAAATACCTAGATGCACGGTGTTCCAAGCACCACGACCATCATCTTCTTCCTCATTTGTAGGCGGCTCTTCTTTGATCCCATCCATCTCAAAGTCCTATCATTTTAATAAAACAATTTCAGTTGCATATAACATTGCTAATTAATTTAAAAACAAATTGTACTCTAATACCATAAGTTCCTGCCCATTCTCTTCCCTGTTTCCAGCAAGACCATAAGTGGGAATGTCTCCCAAAGTCCGGCAAAATTCTGCGGTAGCGTTCAAAACAATATGCCCGCATTGATTTTCTTCGGAACTGGAAGGTTCCTGTTTGATAGTGTCTACAACTTTCTCAATGCTCGATAAATGCATTTCCTTCGAGCGCTGTGCTTTCTTCAACGTTAATTGCAGTTCAAGATCCTTATCATCGTCTTCTAATTTTACTCCACTTAGATCTTCGGAAGGACCTTGATTGGAAAATTAAAATATATTTAAAATCAACCTAACCAACTAAATTAACCTAAATAATAGTAAAAAAAACATTACAATTACCTCCTAAATCGTCTATATCTAAAGAATCGTTATCTTTTACTTCCTCGGGTCGCTTAGTTCTTCTGCTTCCTAAATCACGAAGATAATCATTATCTTCAGGAATTAAGTCTTCCGCTTTTAGTTTTTTCCGAATTTTTCGAACCTGCAAAAACATGAAGCATTTACACAAATAGTTCGCAACAATCATTTGTTAACACCATCATTTGCAGATTTACCTTTTTCTTTGGCTTCTTGAATTTTGCGAGTTCTTCGTCATTGTAATATTCACTAGCTAGCTTTGGCTCTGTTATCTGTAATGATTCTAATCGTTTGGTAGCCAAACGCTGTTTAACATAATCAAGCTTCGATTTGCTATCTTTATGTTTCACTCCTAATACGAAATTGTCTTTTCTTTCGCCCTCAATCTCTTCGTCATATTTTTCCAAGATAGTTTTCTTCGGGAAACCATATTCATCAAAATTGTCTTCATCATACGCATCATAGCCAGGTTTCTTAGTCTTATTCAAAATATTACGTTGATAACGCTCTTCGTCAGTTATGTTTACATTGACGAGTACGTCTTCGCCATCATTTAATACTTCTTGATCTTTTAAAGTTAAGATTACAGTTTTACCCTCTTCAAATTTTTCCTAATGGACAACAAAAATTTTATAAAACTATCCTATGTATTAAAACAGTGTATAGATATAAATACTTACGATGTTATGCTCTACTTTAAGACCTTTCAAATTCTTTTCAGTGTACGCTGTGCTCCTTGCAGTGTGTATTTCCTCTTTTACCAGATTTCCAATTCCAAATTCTTCATCCAACTGATCCAACATTTTAGCCTAGGTGAAAATTACAACATTAAATTTTGCAATTAGTAAAACATCACCAGACATCAAAGAATTCTTAAAAATGGACAAACCCTCTCTTCTGCTTTCCTTTTTTCCTCCTCCAAGCGCCTGGTTTTATCAATCCAGGCTTTGGTATCATCGTCAGAATCGCAATCACCCAAAACTTTTACTTTAGATAAACTAGCCTCAATCTGTCTCTTCTGTTTTTGAGTACCAATTTTCTCCTTTAGCTTCTGTGTCTTCAACTTTTCATTGACATCAGGAGCAGGTTTATGGTAAAACTCTCCTAGATCATCTTTAATCTTGTTAGGATCATCTTTGGGCGTGCTATCGACTTCCAAAGGCTTTAAACCTAACTTTGCACGTAGTTTATTTGTCTCTTCAATGGACAAAGAGGTCTGTGCTGCTCCTCCTTTATTTGGTGATGGACTACGTTGCTTGGAAATCTCTGGAGGTGGAGGTGTAGATGGGTGCGACGACTTAGAAATTTTTGGCGGAGGCGGAGCATTAACTATCTCGACTGAAATGAAACGAACACAGCATTAACTGATACTAAATACCGTGGGCTCATCATAGAAAATGCTTATGTACCTATGTAAGATATAAATATTATTCGCTTCAGTTCCCTCCGAATTATTTAATCTTGAGACTGCTAAATGCGTTTCTGTCGATGTGACACGAGATATTTTCGAAACCAGAGAGGACCGAGACGAACCGAAACCGAAAATGCGTAGCGTTAATGGAACTGCTCGTAAACAATTACATTAGGGGACCGTAGTGTACGGTGATTTCGCAAGAACCGCGCAACACAGTACAACCGTATCTCTAATATCTTAAAAATGAATTAATCAGATAATAACCATCGCTGTCATAATCCTTCCGCTCTTTCCTTCTATGCTTTTTGTGATGCCTGTGCTTTTCCGATTTCTCGCGTTCAGGCGTGTAACTTCGTGAGCGGCTACGGTGACGCTTCTTCTTCGCGTCTCGACTTTTCTCAGTTTTATGCCGTTTATTCGAACCCATTTCTCACTTTTCTATACACAATTGAGCAAAACGGAAAAGTCCTTTCTGTTTTAGATTCTGCACAATTCCGCCATCTTATTAGGGAGGGGGTTGGCGATAGAAGATCGATTGTTACGACATCTAGAATCGATTCGAATATCGAGTTTCGATGAAAGAGATTGCAGATCGACTCACAGTTTTTATAAATAATATCTTTTAACTTAAATTGTTGCGTTAATTAGGAAATTTGAGGTTTGAAATAAAGTATATCTCTAATATTGTATCAAAATATCTTTCTTTCTCTGTTCTGCTTCCCTTTTAAATTGCAATGTCGGGAGCCAATGAAAAACTTGAACGCATTGTCCGTTCCTTCCTATGACCAATCGTTTCAAGAATTTCCACTCAAGACCAGTGGTGTCCATGGACATATTAGCGAATGTGGCGTCTCTTGTGGAGAAAATATGAAGCTTAATTCGGAGTCCGTACAGCACTAATTGGTGCAATGACAAAACGTTCAAATAGTTTGAGCGTTGTGTTACTAACTTAATTGGCGCTGTACGGACTATGAATTAAACTTTAATTTTTCTCCACAAGGGACGTCGCAATCTCCCACATCGATCCTCAATGCAGGATCGATTAGACATTAACACTTTGCCGGCCGCTGTCACGCTGACGTGAATTCTGCTCCTCAAGGGTTATCGGCCGGGATCACGTACGCGTGTCATCGGCTCAGCGCAGCGACGATGTTTGTTGACATTTTTGTAAAATATTAAACCTAAAATTTTTTTTGTAAATAATATAAGTGATAATTTTGAGGTATAAAAATATGCAATAAAATTTATGTAACACTAATTTTAGTGCCATTTTTAATAATAACCATACCCCATGTACGACGGATAGCGTAAATATCACGATGTAAATATCACAATAGTAAAGGCGATGCGAGAAATAAGCGGCCGGCAAAGTGTTAAGTATGACAAAATTAAGGCATGATACAAGTTTAAGAGAAACTACTGTATCGATATCATATAAATAAACAAATAACAATATTGCGAAGTTTGGATAACTATTGGATATTGATCTTCATAAAGGGACGAATTTTTTCTTTAAAAAATCAGGCTATGTCTAAAAATAATTCGTCTAATTTTAACGTTAGAAAAACGAATTTGTTATGCAGATAGATTTTTGTAAATATTTAAAACTTTTATTTTTTGTTTTGCGTTTACTGGAAAGTTAAAAATATTAGGAATAACTAAAACATGGAACTATATAAAAATGCAAATAATTAAGTAATTGTACAAAAATATAGTTATATATTTTTAAATTTTATGTGAACTACACCAGTGTACGTATTTATAATTTATAAAATCAACGTTCAAGTATTTAAAAGAATTATATACAACTTTCTCTCACGTAATATGTATTCAGTCTTTAGTAATAACACATTACGTTAATTTGTACTTAATGAAATCTAATTCTTGACGCAAAATACCAGTTAGTATAAACTCTGTCGACTGTATGGTGACCGTTGTTGGAGCTTTCGCGATGAACTTTTTCGCAGTTGCAATATCTTCCTCACGGGAAACGATAACTGCTTTTTCTGGCCATTTTGTCGGAGGTCGAACCAATGGTTTACCACCGCATGAATTAATTATACCTGTTAAATTAATACATTAAAGTTACAAATATTTTGTAAAATTTGAAAAAATAAACGGCTATTACTTGACCGTTAGTTTTACAGTTTGGAGAAACTAATATCTTTTTAAACATACTTTTCAATTCCGGCAACGGTGGGGCGACGTTAGGCGTTAGAAGAACAGTATATCCATCCAACAATTTTTGTTTCTTCGCCTTCTCCAAGCTTCCTCTTAATCTGAAACCAAATTTAGCTTCCGCAGCAGGATCTTTCAATACATAATTATCCAATTCTGCAAAGTGTCCTGCCTTTTCACTTTCGACCAACCAACTTATTGAAACTATCGGCACTGCTTGTGCCAATGCACACAGAAACTTAACAGTTCTTCGAACTTTATCTGTGACTAACACAGTGCATTTTGTTGGGTCTTCAACTTGAGATGAGCCTACAAGCAAGTAGAAATACAATTATAGTACAAATATAGTTAAACCATTACTTTTGTTCATAATTAAGAAATACATACCCAGTTTTGTTAACAGCTTAGTGTAATCATTGGATATGCCAGTGAATAAAATTTTATGTTTTATTTTATACGGCGATGATGTTGCAAATGAGGTAGACATATTTCTTTTTGACCTAGTTGGTGTTGACATAGCTGACATATCCATGCTAGAATTGATTTCTGAAAACGTTGTTTCTTCTAGTATACTGACTTCATTCTTCTCTTCCGTGACCACCTTTTGCGCGTTTCCTTTCTTTTTTCCTTTTTTAGTAGTTTCTTTACTTACAGTATTATTAGTTGCAATGTTCCTTCTTTCTCTTGTAGTTGTGTCATTCGCTGCAACTTTATCAACATTTGTAGTATTTCTGGAAGTTCTAGCGCGCTTGGCCTTTGTAGGCACCTCGAAGCTGGGGTTATCTAACTCATATACCTCCGAGGAAGTGTTCTCTATAATTTCTTCACTGGTATTAGTACTTGTGTGCCCACGTTTCCGAGTACTTCTTGTTCTAACACTTTTTGCATTTTCATTCGTCTCTTCCTGGTTCTTTACATTTACATTAATACCTTGCCCTTCCACCCAGGAGTTCATAATCATCTCAACTTCCTGCGATTCTTCTCCTACTTGCTCGCTGATATCCTCCACATTACGTTTGCTCGTTGCCCGTCTACTATTATTTCTTTTGGTCCTTTCTGTTGTACTTCTACCACTTTCTTCTTCAGATGAAGTACTTATGGCTTTGTTGATAGTCGCTTGACCATTCTCAGTCGTTAGATCTACAGCTGTGCTAGGAGATAGTGGTAATGTCGGAGTATTGGAAGACAATCTCGTAATTGTTATCCTCAACTGTTTAGTCTCGGCATTTTCTTGACTGCTGGTAAGTGACTGTTGTGAACTGTCCGAGTTGAACACCGGCGAATCTTTTCTCATTATATAGTCCAAAATATTTGCAGAATTGCTTCTGGTAGCCGGAACGCTTCTAGCGTTATTTTTTCTACCTTTGATAGCCACAAACGTTTTCTCACCGACATCCACCTTAAACTTTTTCACTGCGGTACTTTCAGTTACACCAGTTGAACTAAGCGACCTCTTAACACCACGCAATGCCCTCGGAGCAGTTTTTCTTGCAGGTTCAGTCTCTTTTGCAATCAGAACTTCTTTGCTGACCTGAAAAGCAGATGTACTATCAACATCCTTCTTAGTGGTAGCACGAGTCCTTCCATTGCCCTGAATGGAGGGACTGTCTCTTACTTCTTCTTGCGGAGGATTTGGTTCTGTTTGTAGCGATTTGCGCGAAGACATCCTCTTCGCTGGCATAATTTCGTTTATTTCGTTCTCATTGCTTTCTGGTATCGTCATCGGTATTTTATCAGCATCAAAATTGGTAAAAATGCTTGAGACTACTGTAGTCCTTGACTTGCTAACTTTAGAAGGTGCGTTGTTTTCTGCATTCACACGTGTAACTGATTTTCGAGTTGACTTTCTTGGAGCTCCTTTCTTTCTGGTTTCAGCCTTTTTTGCACCGGACCTTGATTTCGTGCTTCTAGTGCACAATTTAAATTCTGTCGACGTCGATGAAGTAGGACTTGCTGGATTCGACAGCGTTCCTGAAATTCGAACTTCGGGTAAGCCTGACATAATGTCTTCTTCATCAGACTCCAGTGTACTAACGGACAGCTCAGATGGTCCAGCATCAACTGATGTGTTATATTTTTCATCACCTTTGCCTGAATCTCCTATAGCGTTCTTATTACTCTTTGGTGAGTCTGTTTTCTCTATAATGGACTCAAACTTGTTCAACTCCTCGGCTTTGTTTGTTCTTGAAAGCCTTGTCGATGACGAATTTTCGGACGCAGACTTTAATAAAACAGCAGGAGCAATATTCTCATTGTTTACAATTTTATTTACTGACTCTGTTTCAACTTCTTTCTTAGAATCAGCTACATCTCCGTTAAGACTATCACTATCTTGAGAATCTACAAGAATATTGCGTTTCCTCGTCGAGGTAAGGTTGGAGAAATAGTCTTGGGAGTCATTATGATTTGTAGCTTTTCTCAAGCTAGACCTGCGTGACTTCCTATTTGTTAGCACTGGCGATACCTCTGGTTTAACTATAGGTGATTTGTTTCTCACCCTACTTGTAGACATATTTTCTCTATTACTCTTTGGCGTTTCTTTATCAATATTAAGATCAGTGGACGTTTCTTCACTCTGTGATGATTGTAGTATATTCGTAAGCACTTGAGTTGAAATTTGTGATTGATCTTCGATGTTTTCATTAACGTCATCAAACATCGCATTCAGATTTCTCTCCAAAGTATCATCCAAATTTACTTTCTTGGAGTTTCGCGATTTACTTTTCTTCTTAGTTGACGTAGTCTTCTTCTTTTCCTCAATGTCAGCCAGCAACTGTGTAGGTGCCATTTCATAATCAATGTCTTCGACACTGAATTCGTCTACTAAATGAGGATTCAATTGATCTGGGTCATTGGGCGATGGTTCATTATAGATAGGAACTTCTGCAATAATTTGCGTTGGTGTGTTATACTGCACGTCAGCTTCCTCCTTCTCTTTATTATGCTTAGTGTTATCTTTTGTTAGATTAACGTTTGTGGAAACTTCCATGCTGGGTATTATTTGCGTTGGCATTAAGTCGTCTATATCTTCTGTGTCTTTGTGCTCCATGTTGCTTACAGGTTCATTTATTTCAATTAATTGCGTTGGCGCATCCATGTCCAAATTCTTTTTTTCTGTCATGTTCTCAAGTACGTGCATTTCAATCACTTGTGTTGGTGTATCGAAGTCGACGCTATCTTTACTGATATCGCCCTGTCCTTTTGAAGAATCCTTGCCGTTAAGGCTCACCTTTTGCGTGGGTATATCAAACAAATCATCAGATTCCCCACTCGACCCAGCATCATTTTTGTTCTGCTTGCATTCATTCTGTCTCAATTCAAGAGACATAGACGCAGCTTTTTTTTCTTTCGCCGCTATCGCGGTGAAATGTCCTTCATCATCTGTATCGGAGTCTTCGCTATCAGATTGCCTCTTTGTCTGACTTTTACCCTGACTGCTATCCTGACTATCAACTCGCGAATACCTCTGAAATACACCCTCTTGATCAGTATCATCAGAATCATCTTCCATAGAAGTTTTAAATGCATAATCAACTTGTTGCGTCACTTTTTCTAAAATGTTCTCAGTGTTAATGTTAATTTGTGTTGCAGCATCAAATATATTCTCTTCGTCGCTGCTTTTCTCAGTCATCTCATTGTTATTCACAAGAGAGTTCGAATGGCTGATCGATTTCGGTCTAGACTTGTCCACTGAATCATCATCAATGAAGTCCACTAACAAATTCGGCGATTCTAGAAGATTGCGACTTTCATCGTGTTCCGAGCACTCATCGTCGAAGTTGGTCGTTATCGATAACTCTAAACACTCCTGCGAACTTCTTCGGCTGATCTCAAATTGTTTAGAAAGCGTGGAATTTTCATCCTTTTCGACTATAGCTTCCTCGGACTGAGTTTCATTCTTATGTGCCTTCATACTAGATTCATCTACCATTAATTCTGCTTCTTTTATTTGTTCCGCATTAACAGAACTCGTATTTTCATCGCCTTTGACGGAAACGTTCTGCACATCAATCTTTCTTGGTGTCTCCAAGCTATGAATATCCACATCATCATGCTGTGTTTCTATATCATGAATGTCTGTCACATTGCATTGGCTATTTGTATCCTCAGGTTGCGTCTCTATGTCATGTATGTCAGTCTGTTTATCAGGGTGTGGAGAACTGCAGCTGCTTAAGCAGATCTTTTGAGTTTCAACATCGTGGATGTCGGTACTCAAATTGTTCTGAGATTCAAATGATTTCTGCGTTTCTATATCATGAATACTGACCCTCTGTTCATCTTGATTCTCCTTTCTCGGGAGAAATAGAGAGCCTTTAGACTCGTGCATGCTGTTCTCAATAGAAGAGTCTGGTAGATAGCTTTTGCGACTGTTGGTAGAACTTCTCGCAGGTGTGGATGGTCGTCGGAATAGAGAGTCTTCTTTGTCCGCTTGGGTCCCTGGGATCATAGAGGTCTCGGTCTCCAATGTAGACGAATAGTTCTATATAGAATCATTTAACAGAATGAGAAAATTACTTAAAAAAAAATTTTCTACTTCTGTACTTTAATGTTTTTAAATGATAATTACTATGGATGTATCTGGTGTTCCTGGAATAACTGTATTCACAGTTTTCAGACGACTTGCAATCGGGGTTTCTAGGATTAGGGATTCATCCACTGAATTAAGTTCTGAATAAACAGCCCGCACCATGCCAAATTCGATAACGCTTCCACCTTTTAGTTGATAGTATCGACCAGGCCTTAAAGCAGACTGTAAATAAAAGTAAAACAAATCTTAAGTACACACACATAGTTAATATTTCGACAAATTTTTATAAATAATTATTTCTGTCAACTTATTTCCTGTGACTTGATAAATACAAATATAATACATAATTGTATCAATGTTTAATTAAGCCTTTACTGTACTTTCTATATTAATGTGAAAATAATCTGTATATAATCATAAATAATATTTTATTACACCGTTGAGTATTGTTTGGTTCGAAGAATTCATGTCGCAAATCCATGTTTCACCACTGTTGGCTTCGATTTCTGCGTGCTTCTTGGATACAGTCTGTATATATTATAACAAAAATAATATATTATTTCATATCCTGTTCCTTATTTGTTATAATAAACCTAAACGAAAAATGTAAAAACTTACTTGATCTAGTAGTATGATACTGCAATTTGGATGTCTACCAATTTTAGTAATTCCTCGATTAATTGGATAAGTTGTGGAACCGATTCTCAATGTTCCAATCTAAAATATTTTATATATGTAAATTAAATATAAACAAATAATATTACGGTGAATCAATTATTTTTAATACTCGTGTAAACAATAAAAAATTAATTCGTCGAAACAATTCGAATTCAATATCATAATATCGACAAGTATCGACGACAACACGGAAAATGTCATGACGAAGAAAATAGTTATGCATAAACTGTTAAGTATTATGTACCTGCATTTTCTCTTGCACTGCTTCATATGGCAATGAATGAGATAGTTTCTGCGTCGGCATGAAATCATCTTCAATTATTTGTGTCGGCAAAATATCCATCGTGAATGAAATTTAATGGAGTGACGCTAGTTGAACCTAGATTGTATGTTTACAAAAAACTTGTTTATCTTCATAAACGCAGTTCGCATGTACAAGTACTAACAAAATATTTACAGTTATATAATCGTAGACGAATTACGAGTTAATAAATAATCAGCACGGTCACACACAAATATAAGGAGAAAATTACACATTACTTATGGCACTGTTTATGAAGGAACACTTAATCATAAATAAAACATTACAAGATAGGGCGAAACATTGATGCGCGATTGCCCGCCGTAAGAATTTTGGTTTTGAACCGGTGTAGAATACAGATGTGTTCACGTCCCGGATTTTCCCGAACAATTTTGATGTGTCAAATGCGATAGTTCACAGTTTAATTACACGATATCGGTGCAACAAATTTTTCTGAACAGTTCTGTGCCCTTGGTTTAATTTTTGATTGCCTAATTCTGGCATAATTGATGTTCTTTAACGAGCCCTGCATTGGGCACACGTGGACGACTGTGGCGTCTCTTATGAAGATAAGGTGAAGCTTAATTCAGAGTTCGAACAGCGCCAATTAAGATAGTGGCAAAACGCCCAAACTGTTAGCCAAATCACTGAGAGTCGATTTTGGTTAACGGTTTGAGCGTTTTGCCACTGCACCAATTGGCGCTGTACGGAGGTCGATAGAAACGGCGCGAATTTCAAAACGGTAAGAATCATTTGTGTTCTATACAAAAGATTTGTTTGAAAATTTCAGTTGAAATTAACTATTCAATATACAATATCTTTTACAATTGCTTTCTGTAATATTTGTCAATATTTCTTGTTATCCAGCATATCAAAATAATATGTATATGACAATATACATATTATAATATACATATTATTAAATATACATATTATTGTATACATATTATATTAAATATATGTGTATGTATATATGTATATTAATGATAGAACGTTTATTCTAATACATACCGATTTGTCTGCTTCACATAGAAATTGTAGATTACAGAATGGTTTCTTAATTTCTTAGGCTGAAATGATTTTTAAGCTACTCAGCTTTGCAGCGTGTGCGAACAATGAAGGTGGTGTTCTGTGACCTTTAACACCAGTACCCTGACGCACCAGGAATTCAGAATGTTCACCTTTGATATTCTACCCAAGCAGAGTACAGGGTTCATGTGTAATAATTGACATAATAGAATTTTGCAATCCGTGTAACCTAGCATCTTGAATTTCGTTACTTTAAATTACCCAAGTACCGATTTACAATGTGTAATAAAGAAACTAAAACAAACTAAAAAAAAACCTGTGCACTGCACAGATTTAGTATTAGCAATATATATATTATTATATATACTAATTATACTTAATTACTAATTATATAATTAATATACTTAATAAATATATATATTATTATTATAATAATATATATATTTAGCAATTTATTGCGCAGACTAATTGCCGTATACCACACACGTCGCGTGGCTCCATTTCTCTTCGATTTGCACACACGCTACCGCAAATCAATCCCGTCTCCGAATAGTTCTGCTTTCTCGTGCATTAGTCACGGGGTTCGTTAAAAAAAAAGAAAAAAAAGAAAGAACGATGAAAGAATAAAGTGAAATTGCATTTTTATTCAAATCATCGAAAGTTCGCTGTCGTTTGCTTCGCGTCCTTATAACGGAACGTGTACCCCAATTTTTTCCTTAGGCCGTGAATATCAATTAACGGTGTCATTAACAACCGAGGCAGACATCTGGCTCAGCAGCCAGAAAGAACGTTCCGGAAGGGTTGCCGTGCGCCGAGGCCGCAACGATGAAGAGTAAATGTTGTCCGATCGAAAGCGATACGTATTCAAAGCACCCGGAAGAGAACGTGTGCACAGAAGTAACGATATTAACGTTCACGGACACTTTCGCAACTGTTGCGCAAATATAATTTCACAAACGCGCGTGAAATCGTAGACGCCGATCCAGATTGATAAAAATAACGTATTCCGATCTACTTTTTCAAACGATCAACGAATCGGCGCCCAGTCGTCCCGCTGGATGAGGCAATCGCTTTGTGCCTGTGCTCCCATTGATTAAATAATATCCATTTACGCAACGTTTCATTGATTAAATAATACATATCCTTACCTTTCACTGAAACGACCCGATTCTTCGTAAATTCTTGAGCAACCGGCCGACGTAAACACCTTTTACTGTCTCATACGGCGAACAAGGGGCCCTCCCAATGATCGCGATCCCTTAACGATTACAACTAATTAAGAATTATCATTATTTATTATATTTAAAATTATATATATTTTTATTAAAAATTATTCAATTGAAAGTTAATTGTATTAAGATTTATAATATATATGCTGACATTTTGTCGATGTTATTTGACTAATTCTATATATTATAATTTACTGATGAATATATTATATATATATTATATATATTAATAATAATAATAATAATATATATTATATATTATATATATTAATAATAATAATAATAATATATATTATATATTATATATATATAATAATAATAATATATATAGAATAATATAGAATAATATATATTATATATATATAATATATATATAATATATTCATCAGTAAATTATAATATATAGAATTAGTCAAATAACATCGACAAAATGTCAGCATATATATTATAAATCTTAATACAATTAACTTTCAATTGAATAATTTTTAATAAAAATATATATAATTTTAAATATAATAAATAATGATAATTCTTAATTA